TTTTATCTTGGGAGTCATATTATATCACATCCAAACATTTTGTTTGCATGAAAAAAGTATTGCATATTTTTACATATTATTCATTTTAAATTGTCTCAATATATCTAGGCATGGCAAAATTGTCAAGTCGTCCTGGCCAGCTGCTACTTCCACCATGTGCAGCCCATGTGCAGTACACCTAAAACAGTCTGCTTTCTGCTCATAAGTTAGAAACATTTTGCAGAAGGCTGTGTGCAAAAGAGTGTTGTGAAGGTGTACCAGATTGTATCAGCAACTGTTGGAGATGTTGGCATTGGTGCCATGAGCCGTTATTCACCACCTAAGAGGAAGAGAGTTGATAGACCAAGCCGTCCCGTGATAATAGCAAGCGTGCTCAGAGTTTTACTAGCTCTTGCTGCGATCGTAGCATGGTCCTACTACTCCTCTTCTCTCCACAAGGTCAACCTTTTGACAACTGAACGCTTAGATCTTAACAAAGGCGGTTTTGTCATCCGAAGCCAAACTGGGGTTGTCATTTTCAAAATGAAATTGAGGTATTTTGTTTAAATACATTTGTATTTTGTTTAAATATCATATTTACACTTGTATTTATATAATTATTATTAGAAGTCACATTGTTTTTAATTGTGCATTTTAGGTCTGGTACCCTTGATCTGGACTCATGTTCAAAAGAGGGACAGATTCTCCGATGTGACAAATCCATGGCTGGAAATATACATTTCTTCATAGAAACTGTAAAGCCTAAAGACACAGTCGAGTGCTATCGTGTGTGCTGGGACGAGCTGGAGGAGCATCGGTTGGTGGAGCATGCCATGTCCTGCAGTGGATCACACTGGTATGGTGGTGCGGAGACTTGGTTGCAGCATTGGCCAATAGTATTAAAAGGACATCAGGCTCCCAAACCTTTCATTACAGGTGATATTCATTCAAATCATCAGGCATTTGGTGGCATCTTGGAGCGCTACTGGCTTTCTTCCAATGCTACGGCCATAAAAATGAATGATTCTGTTCCTTTTCACCTCGGCTGGGATGAAACAAACAAAACTCTGTGGTTCCAAGCTCGATATAATGACAGCACTTATAGTCCAGACCCTGATAATCCCCATCATGTGACTCTGAGTTATCGTGTATGTGTGGGGCTAGACATCACCGCTATACACAAGTACATGGTACGTCGATATTTCAAGAAGCCCAATAAGGTTCCTTCAGAAGCTGTTTTCAGATAACCAGTCTGGTCTACAAGAGCTCTAGAAGAAGTGAACCAAGAACAAACATTGAAATATGCATCTGATATCCAAAAAATGGCTTCAACTGCAGGAAGCTGTACGACAGATATACTAGTGGCTATGGAGAGTTTGAGTTAGATCCCATCAAGTTCCCCAACGCCTCAGCCATGTTTCAAAAACTAAGAGAAGATGGATTCCAGGTAACCTTGTTGACTCATCCATTTGCCAACTATAATTCTGTCAGTTTTGGTGTTGGAATAGAACAAGGACTGTTTGTACGAGTGCCTGGTAGCCAGCTTCCAGCATTGGTGCGTTGGTGGAACGGTATCGCTGGCATTTGGGATTTCACAAATCCAGAAGCTCGGGACTGGTATGACTTGAATCTTCGCACCCTCAAGAACAAGTATGGAGTGGCATCTTTCAAGTTTGATGCAGGAGAGACAAGCTACTTACCCCAGCAGTTCAGTACCTTTGTTCCTCTGCAGGATCCCAGTACCTTTACCCGCCGCTACACTGAGATGGCAATACCATTCAATGACTGTGCAGAGCTGCGGTCAGGCTATCAATCTCAAAACATCTGCTTCTTCAGAATTATTGACCGTGAGTCACTATGGGGATACACCCTAGGCCTGAAATCTATAATCCCAACAGTACTTACTATAATTATTCTTGGCTACCAGTTTATTCTGCCAGACATGTCTGCCAGACA